GATGAACTCCTGCATTAAATATTGTAATAGAAGATGTGGATGTGGAGATGTGGCAGGTCTGGCAACAGTTGGGAGAAGATACTTGAACTGCTGCCAACCTGCATGCTGTCTGTCCAATCCCACTCTACTTTGCTGCAGGTTAATCTTCCTGACATTTCTTCGAACGAATGTCCCGTAATGTCGATCACAGCTAAACTAAGAGTGAGACTGGGTTCTCTGTGTTAGCCTGACATTTGTACTGTGGGACAAATAGGCCCTCGTATTGAATTTTATGCACATGTTGAACAAAGGTTCAACATTATTTCCAAACCTTTCCTACTAGTGGCCACGATAATGATAATGAGTTGTTGTTGTGATTCTTGAATGTTGGATTGAGGTTCATGAATTCTATAGTAGACAGCGGGAGTGTGTAGGTATTCAATGACGTGCGTGAGTTGGTGTGTTTTACACTGTTTGAACAGAACTCCAGTTATATCACAGCTTTCAGCTTATGTGGGAGGAAAGCACAAAGTGACATACAGCAGACATGTTTGGGCCAGTGTGCTGACTGTATGGGCCAGTGTGCTGACTGTATGGACCAGTGTGCTGACTGTGTGGGCCAGTGTGCTGACTGTATGGGCCAGTGTGCTGACTGTGTGGGCCAGTGTGTTGACTGTATGGACCAGTGTTTCTGTGTGTTGACTGTATGGGCCAGTGTGCTGACTGTATGGGCCAGTGTGCTGACTGTGTGGGCCAGTGTGTTGACTGTATGGGCCAGTGTGCTGACTGTATGGACCAGTGTGCTGACTGTGTGGGCCAGTGTGCTTACTGTGTGGGCCAGTGTGTTGACTGTATGGGCCAGTGTGCTGACTGTATGGGCCAGTGTGCTGACTGTATGGGCCAGTGTGTTGACTGTGTGGGCCAGGGTGCTGACTGTGTGGGCCAGTGTGCTTACTGTGTGGGCCAGTGTGTTGACTGTATGGGCCAGTGTGCTGACTGTATGGGCCAGTGTGCTGACTGTATGGGCCAGTGTGTTGACTGTGTGGGCCAGGGTGCTGACTGTGTGGGCCAGTGTGCTGACTGTATGGGCCAGTGTGCTGACTGTGTGGGCCAGTGTGCTGACTGTATGGGCCAGTGTGCTGACTGTATGGGCCAATGTGCTGACTGTATGGGCCAGTGTGCTGACTGTATGGGCCAGTGTGCTGACTGTATGGCCATAATCCTGGTCAATCTTGGATTCGAACCCCAACCCAGTGCATCCTGGCTGCTGAAGTAATAAACAAGCATGGAAATGTCCTAGATGGGTTATTTATGCACAGCTTTACTGGGGAAAGGCCATATTATTTGTATTACTATTAGCTTTGGATCCCATTTTGCCACTATGTTTCTGGGTTTGTAAGCACCATACTCATGCTGATGGGTTTCACCAAGTGATAAACATCTGATACATGCATCGCTTTGGGCTTTCCTCCCAGATCAAGCTAACCTGCTGTGATATAACTGGAATACTGTTCAAAGCGGCGTTAAACCAAACTAACACGCCCACTCAATATCCAGGAAAACTGAATTCATGAAATAAACATCATCTGTTCCTGTCTGATGTATCAGTAACCAAAAATGTCTCTATTACAAATAATGTTGCAAATATTCAACAAATCAAATTCTCCCTCCCAGTTGTTATATACTTCTGCTTGTGGTACATGTCTTTTTGTCATGACCAAATCATCAATCTCATTGTGCCCCAAGGAGAATCCAGGTTAGAATAGTTCCAGGCAACTCAATGAAGAGGTGGCCAGGCATGGGGACTTGTTTGATAACATGTCTTGTACCCCAACAGTAGGGGATGTTGTTCATCATATCATTCAATGGTTTGTCTGGTCCAGACTCAATTACTTTCAGGCAACCATCATAAACTAGGTACTCAAAAGAAGTTGAAGGACACCCAATTCTTTCACATTACTATAATTAATATGTTGTGCCAATAACAGAGGGGTAAGTAGTGCAATATTGTTAAGTGTGGCTTTGAACAAACGACAAACAGTTGGTCCATATGTACATCTCCACATCGATTGTCATGATATCAATCACTGTGTTGTCTGGTCGAGATTCAATTTTTTACAGACCGCTGTCATATAGCTGGACTATTGCTGAGTGAGGTGTTAAACGACAAACAAACAAAAAACAACATCTCCACATCAAACACGTATATTTTCCTGATGATGATCAATCTTGACATTTTTCAGTGATTTCCCACATCCTGGTGCATTCCACTTAGTGTTAACCACATGTAGTTTCATAGAGATAGATATATGTGGTTTGTGACCAGGCAGGAACAGTCTGGATAAGACTTTAAGGTTTTCGCTTGTGTTCCTTGTTAAAGGATTGTAAGGCCAGCTTCCTCATTTTAAGCTGTCAGCGATGATGACTCCATTGTATAAGCATACACAAAAACACCGAAGATGAAACCCCATTTGTCAGTTAATGTATGACTCACTGTAAATAAACATGATCAGACATGGCCTGCTTGAACATGTATATGGAACACGTCAGTGTTTTTTAACTGCTGCACACCATGTCTAGCTTTGGGAGTGTTGCTTCTCCCTCAGGGATGTGCAGCACAGTATTTATTGTGTTTAAAGTTGTTGAACGCCAGGGTGATGTGGAATGGTGTTGAGGATTCTGTACCTGTGCTGAGTTTGAAATGTGAGGGTTTATCAAGTTTTGGTGCATCTGTTAGGTTTGCTGCTGGCTGTTGCTCAAAACAGCTTGTGCTGGATTCTCACTCTCCATCTTGTACCCTTGCCAAAAATGCCAGGCTGCCAGCCATGCTATATGATATGGCAGGGAGGGGAAGAATCTGTCCCTGTTACTCAATGGTTGCCATGGTAAACAGCTAAGCAGTGAGGCACCCTTCAGCACTTTACCTCCTACAGAACTGTAGCTCCTCTGCACTGTAGATCATCCTAACCTGTAATTATAGTGGCACAGCACATATTTTGACCTCCACTTCGGCTTCTGACCAACAAAGATGGCTGGTCCTGTTCTGAAGACTTTACCAGCCTTTGAGTGCTTCTAGATTCTTCTGCCTATTCCTCCAGAGTCCAGGATTAGATCTACTGTGATGTCTGCGTTTCATGTAGCCTTTAACCTTTTCGAGATACATGTACTTCATCCGTACATGTTGTGACCCAGAGAGTTCATCCATGTGAAATACATCTATCTTTCTGTGATAAGGAACCAAGTCAACATACTCATGATGGAAAGCTGAAAAAAAGATATCCTTGAATGTGAAATTTTCGGTTAATGTTCAAGGGAAAATGTGGTAATGTTGTGGTACAGGTGTTGTGTTATCGTGGTAGTGGGATGTCCAGTGGCTTCGTCTGAGGTGTAACACATGTTCAAAGGGGAGTGATAGATGGCTTGGACATCTTCTATAGAACACTCAACATGAGCTGCCTGTGGTGCCTGTCTGTGAGAACTGATGATGAATTAGGCTACTGACTCTCATTATTTTATATCCAGATGCCATGCACAAGCCTCAGGGGATTGAATGTAGCCTCCATCTTGTGCCATAGTTTTTTGTGTGAAAATAACAAGAGAATTTCCTGAGGGAATTTCCACTTCTCTGATCCTGACTGAGTCTCAGACCAGCATCCCCACCTGAGCTCATCAGAAAGAAAATGCTGTTGAAAAAACCGAGACTGCTGAGGTTTTGAGAATGCATTTTATTTCACATAATCCTAGCTTATAAATAATGATACCATTTAAAAGAAGTTACATCTTTCAACATCTTGTACATTGGATTTGGTTTTCGATTTTTTGGCAGGGGTACACGTTTGCATCCCGTCTTAAATATTTAACATTTGCTGACTTGTATGGGCACTGAGATCAATCTTTTTTGTTTTGTGTGAAATTGACCCCGGGTTAGATTGAGGGAAAAATCAATACCCATGTGAAGAATTCAAGTCTGAAGTGCCTGTTTTGTGGTGCAGAGATGTAATCAAGATTCCAGTCTGATTCCTGATAGAATTATTCTGGTGACTGACAAATGTTGAAGTCTTTGGATTAGCTTGACCAGACTCCAAGACCAATTCTGACACCAGTCCTTTCCCAATTTGATCCAATCTTGAAGAGATAATTAACCCAGTTGATGAGGGAAAATAGGTCATGTATTTACATCTGGCTAGGTGGACCCAGACCCACACCAATCAGATAATCGAAAACTAGGAAGACTTGTCACCTGTGACTAAACTAAGACCATCCTTAAAGCCTCCAACAACAAAGACTGTTTTCTCCAAGGCAATAAAGGACAGTCGACCTCTCTCAACGAGTCAGGTGTATTGTCATCTACTCAGTCGGAAACATTTGAAGTAGACCGTGTTTGAATGTGCCCTTTGGTTGTTCTCCTGGCACTGAGCTGGGACAATAAGAAGACGTATACAACAGATTCATCACAAAAGTTCATCATAGTGCTTTGCATACTTTGTGTCAACATGTCGCAATAAACTTTCATAAACTACCCACACCTATTCAGAAGGTACAAATGGCCCACTTAAAAGGTCTCATCATATGATATGAGACATTAAAACAAGGATCTTGCATAGTCCATGAATAGTTCTTGTACAGAAGAGTACATGTCTATGTTTGTTGCAAGAGAAACATTGAAAAAAGTGACAATAGATCCTGAAGAACAATACTTATTAAAATGTAACGTTGAAACAATTTCAGCCAGTATTACACCTTTACCACAACCATGAACTGTGTAGAACTGAAACTTTCTATATACACATGATATATATATTATCGATAATCGGCAGATCGGTACCCACTGACCTATAATGACCATGATTCTGAGACAATATTTTGACTATATGGAACAGCTGCAATGAGCACTTGGGTTTGAGCTTGTGTCATGTGCTTCGAATTGTCAGTTATTTCATTTTCATCAACATGATAGTTTTGAGAGACACCTTCTTGACAATTGAGGTTTTCATGGCCCCATATCTTTATGCTGTTTGCAGATTGGTGTTTGGGACTCTCTACCCAGCATATGCTTCGTACAAAGCAGTAAGGACCAAAAATGTGAAAGAATATGTAAGTATCTGAGCTGTTATTATTATTGTTTGTAAAATGCAGTTGGGAAGCCAACACAGACATCATGTGTGACCTTAGCTTAACTGGCCCAAAGGGTCATTGAGCCTATGTACTTGGAAGCTGTCTACAGCAATAGTCAGCAAACGTTTTGGATTTATAAGTCTTTCTTGAGAACTTCTGGGTGGATTGTGATGAAACCTTGTCTAGGTGCTGCCAAACAGCAGTTCAATTGTGTTCAAAGAAAGAAATTTAGTATGGCTGCCTGATAGACATCTTTGATTTTCTTAATTATCTTCTAAAGTATCAAAGTTCAGTGAGGTAAAGGCATTGGTGACTATGAGATGTAGTTTTATTCAAGTGCAAGCTATTTTAATGGTATAACAATTGTGACCTCTTGCTGCCATCTTATTCAATATCACTAAATTGATATATTGTTATTAATGCATAAGTAAAGATATATTACCCAAAAGAAGATAAAAGAACACCAGATTAGTTTGTCTATCTGTAACCTCTTTTGAGCAGAATATCTTCCAGTTCTCTTTTACAAATCTGGCTTTGAGCTTCCAAGCTTTCACTTGAAAAGGGGCTTTGAACTTAGGTCAAAATGCCCGGTGCCACCTGACCTGCTGATTTCAAAGCTCTTATCCGTAACTATTGTGTAAGAAATAGTTTTAGTATTATCTAGCCATTGTCTATGTGTTCAAAAAGGCATTTATTTATCAAAAGGTCAGCTGTTTCCTTGTGAACAAATGAGCTACTTTCACTTGATGCTATTTTTTACTTCCCTTGCCTTGACATTGCCAAGAAAGTCTCTGTAAATGTCACCTTAGTGGGTAGAACTGAAGCGGCACTTGGTGTTAGTGACATCTTGTTAGTGCCATATGACTGTTCCATTGGCTTGTGTTAGCTACAGTAGTCCAGCTTAATGTCACTTGATTTTCGTGGCAAAAAGTATGGCCAATCTAGAAGTAGTAACTGAATGGGGATAGTACTTTAGTGGAGGACCCAAGAACCTCTGCACAAAGTAACCGAGCACTGAGACCATTGTAAACCTGACAGGGGTAGAAAGTGACTTGTTATGTCACTCGTCTATGTAGTATATTCAAAACTAAAGTAATTTCTTCTCGCAATTTGGATATCTAAGTGGTTGTTGATTTTTGTTGGAAATAAAGTCACACTTTGACTCATGCTGCTCTGATACTCACAGTGGTCAGATACAATCATGACTTTGTGCACTTGGACCTTCTAACCCCATTCATTACTGACATGCTCTTTTTTCAGCATATTAACATCCACCTTTATTTATATTGCTTACATGTTACTCAGCATAGAGTAAAATCTCACATATTTAATGTACTGACACAGCTTACAAAGCAATCTTTGCTCCATGATGTTTTATGCCCAATCTGTAATCTTGACTTATGATGGCTGTAGTTAAAAGATTGCTATCTACATCTTAAAATTAAACCCAAATCACTCACACACTATTGTGTTTTACTGTACCATTTGTTATAGTTATTTGTCTTGTTAACTGTCCCAATTGCTTGTCATAAGAGGCGCGGTCAGGCTTGCTGACTTGGTTGATAGCATGTCAGTGTACTCTGATGTCATTGATCGTTGCTCATAATATCAATCATTGGATTGTCCAGATTCTTATTTACACACAGCCTTAATATAGCTTGAATATTGCTGAGTGTATCATTTAACAAAAAAAAAAAACCTGCTCCAAGTTGCAAGTGCAAATTTCATGCAATAGATTCTAAAACTAATGAGAGAAATGTGGATGGTTAAATTCAATGATGCATATTTTATTTGTAAAGAAAAAATAAAGAAACATGTTTCAAATTAACATAATCTATAATTCATCATGGTAATAGGTAAAGTTACATGCCAATATTACCTGTATCACTTGAACTTGGTCCTATCCAACCAAAATAGCTATTTGCTGTCTTGTTGGTCGCTGCATGAGCACCATGTCTGTGTATGTATCATGAAATATTGTTTTCTACGTTTTTGATTTATCCAACAATGTGTCATGAATTAACTGAACTTATACCTTACCAAGGCCCAATACCAGTGATGGGACTATAATTGTTGGGGCATCAGGCAATTGTAGTGTTACATCCCTTAACCTGCCATAGTATACTTGAAAACCTTTGTATAAATTAAGTGTACATAATATATGATTATTGTGCCATATATATCTATTTCACTCAGTGTTTGGAATACATGTAATTTTAAAACCCAAACAGACAGTCAGGCAGGTGACCCATAAGTGTTGCCAGCCAATCTTCAAAGTTACTTGCCCGCATCCAGACATTATAAATATTGAAAAATCACATTTCTGATTCAGTAGAAATAATTACTTGACAATCTTTGAGAAGTTCAAATAAGACAGAATATCTAAGTAGTCTTAAAATTATCTGCCAGACAATCAGACAGGTGGAGTAATATTTCATGCAGCCTGACAGAAAAGTTACAGCCGAGCACAAGCAGGCGGGCAGTTATTTCGGACACTGATTCTTCTAGCCCAAGCATGGGCCTCAGTACATTTTCAGTACATTTTAGTGAAATAGACCATTATTAGCTGACCTCATTAGAAAGACCAACTTGAGCTTCATACAAGTGGATAAAAGTTTCGGACTATGAGATTGTGATGATCAATTAAACACTATTTAGGCTGCTGACATGATCATTTCTATTGGTAATAACTTTCCCCCAGTATTTTGTAAAACACTTCCTTTTCCACTAGGGCTGGGACGGGTAACTCGGGTACCCGGGTTGAGTGGGTCCTGAGTAAGGACCCGGGTACCCAAAGGACTACCCGGACCCGTAGTTAGTCACGTGTATTTTTCAAGTATTGTTTGATGACAAAAATTATCTTAAACTCTATGGTTACACTATAAGTCACTAATATCCCATTTCTTTCTGTCAATGCACCCATTCCTACTGACTTTTATGTATTTGAATAAAGATAAAACTTCATGCATTAAACTTCAGTGTATGCATGAGCGGATCGTCTTACACGTGTATCTAAATACATTTTGCCAGGGCTACGGTCAAACTTTTCCAAATTGGACAGTTTGTACCTATCTCTAAAAATCTACAGCGGGTACCCGGGTAGGGTCGGGTAATAGGGTGGTGTGTACCCGGGTAGTAAATTTGGACCCGTCCCAGCCCTATTTTCCACCTCACACTACTTTAAGCATCATATCAGAATTATTAATACATTATATTCAGACATAGAAATTAGGCAAGAAAAGAAATATGTGGCATCGGGTAATGTTTGAATTAGGTCACTAAAGGATGGTTGTATAATCCTCGCCAATGCCACAAAAGCCCTTGCTTCCCCTCAGGGAGGGCTCACAAATCCCTGATTAAGCCCTGTTTGTGTAATCTGGTATTGAAGCTTGCACTAGTTTAGATTTATTTATGTAACGCATTGATCCCTCAATCACTGTGGCATATTGGAAATAGTTTTGTGCAGGAGACAATTGGTACCATAGTACTTTGCTCATGGTGTAATGCAATATTCAATGTTGAATATTCTTTAATCTATGTATCAAAGATGTGTTTTTTTTCATTTCATCTTTCCTGTTACTATGCAAAATGTCACTGACTACAACACTAAGTATTGATCATTATCATTTTGTAAATACCCAAGCAACCAATATAGACATGTGAAATGATGTGCATTGTAACGACAAGTTTAATTTTGCAATACACAATTTCAACTTCAATAAATATGTACTCGTGAGGAATAAGCTTCCTTTGATTGTGCAATTTGCTATTAATATTTTTACTGGGAATATTTATGTATCTCGTTGCATTGATTAATAATGTCAGGGTGAGTGCATGTTGTTTACACTGCCAATATTACCATTATTTATAGTATTTAATACTCTACTTTGAAACTTTGTGACTGCAGATGTCACCATTCTAAATAAAACATCTAGATTGACAAATCATTAAGATGGAGTAATATCATATGTGTATATATTTATATATTTTTCAACTTGTGTGGTATTTGTGGTGTGGACATTTTCCATGCTGGAATAGCTAGGGGCTAAATTATTGGTACCATAGAGAGTATTACCAGTATTTGAAATTCTGTCTGAAATACCCATCTTGCTGTTCAATTAATGGCACCCCACGGTGTATTACAGGCAGTATTTCAAAGAGAATAATACATGTTGGGTTTGTGAATGAGTTGCTAGAGATTTCTATTTTTGTTAACATCCACATTTGTCATGTTGACAGTTTATAAATAATTTAAATGATAGTCGGCAGATATGTTATAGGAGTGATGATAACAATTCATTTTGTTTCAGTTATTTTTGGGTATGGACACAGAATCAGAATTTTTAAAGATTGTCCTAACATGTATTTTGTATGCCAGAAAGATAGAAATTATGTTTTGGTTTGTTTTGTTAAAAAAGAAAAAGATACCTATTAATAATACATACATTGGCCAATTTATTTCAGTGTGCCACATTTCAAAGTATCTAAAAGTTAATGTACTCAAGACATGGTTCTTCTCACCTTTGGATGGTGGGGTAGCCTAGTGGTTAAAGCATTTGCTCGTCACACCAAAGACCCGTGTTCACTTCCCCACACCAAAGACCCATGTACACTTCCCCACACCAAAGACCCGTGGCCACTACTCACACTAAAGACCCGTGTTCACTTCACCACACCAAAGACCTATGTTCACTACACCACACTAAAGACCCGTGATCACTTCCCCACACCAAAGACCCATGTTCACTTCCCCACACCAAAGACCCATGTTCACTTCCCCACACCAAAGACCTATGTTCACTACACCACACCACACCAAAGACCCATGTTCACTTCACCACACCAAAGACCTATGTTCACTACACCACACCAAAGACCTGTGGCCACTTCCCCACACCAAAGACCCATGTTCACTTCCCCACATGGATACAATGCATGAAGCATTCCTGGAATGGAATTGGTATTGATGGAATATTGCT